AGCAGTACAACAAAGGGAGTAAACAGGAGAGTGGGTCTCGGTTTCAGGAAAGGGTAGGAGAAAATTGTCATGGCAGTTTCACTAATCACCTTGTTCTTCTGTCTTAAATAGTAGCTGCCCAGCTGGAATTCTGTCCCTGTCTTCCTAGGGCTTGCCCCTCTGCCGCTAGTTATCTACTCAGTTCTGGATGAATTCCATAGGAAGACTCCAGCTGTGATACTCTGCTCTTTCTAACCTCAACATTCTCCTTTTCCCGCCAGTGTCAAAGTTTTCCATCTTCTCTGTCTCCTTTACTTGGCTTGGCTTTTGGCCTTTGTGCCTACAAACTCCTCCCAAGGTTAGGGTCAAAGACCCTGTGGGTAGTTTGCCCTCAAGTAAACTCCAAAATAACCCTAAGACTTCAGAGAACACTGGGAAAGGGGAAGACTGTTCATCATCACCCCCCATCCTCACCCCTTAACCCTTACTGCTACCCCATCCCAGTGCTTTTGTGTCTAAGCCTTTTGGCAGAGCTCCAAAAAGGAGGGTTTGCGTATGCAATCTACGTTCATAGTATTTAATGAGAGATATCTTGGTGTGGTGAATAGACAGCTGGCTTTGGAGTAGGGAATGCTCTGGTTCGAGTCCTATCTCTGATAATTCTGTAATTCTGGGCAAGTCATTTAACCTCTTAGTGCCCCAGGCAGCTCTGAGATTAAGTTGTAGAGCAGGTGTTCACGTACATTGGTAAAGGGAGTGTAGGAGGAGTTTCTTGTTCCAATCACAGGTCTGGTCCAAAAAAAGTCTCTACTTAAAGGATCTGTGAATTCTTTTGAGTGCTGTTTTCCTTACACAGTTCATTTGGAGACTTTCTCTAACCAATAAATACATTTCCCTGTGGCCAGCTTGGTGATGTGTGATAGGCAGCTGTGTACTTAGCTAGTCTTCTGACCGTATCTACTGAATAGCCTAGGACGGGTGAGGAACCTTGGGCCTCAAAGCCCTCGATTGTTGCCCTTTGACTGAATCCAAACGTCACAGAACAAATCCCCTTAATAAAAGGATTTGTTCTGTAAGACTTGGACTCGAGTCAAATGGCTGCACCCAAGGACCAAGAAGGCTACGTGTGGCCTTGAGGCCGCAGGCTCCCCACCCCTGGCCTAAGATCACCTCCACACGGATGGCAAGGCAAGTGGATAGTACTTTAGGGGAGGGTATTTATTTGCCTTTTTAGATTAAATTTTCCTTTTCATTATGAACTCAATGAAAAAGATTAAATGTGACATTATTCACCTTGCTTATTTATCCCTTTCTGACTGTCCACAGTCTTTTCTGTATTTTTAAAATGCTTTAGTTCTTTGATTTTTTTTTTGCATCGTCACTATTTCTTGAGGCCACCCCACAACTACCCCTCCCCCAAGTCATTTTTGTAATGAGTAAGCATAGTAAAAAACCAACAACACACACAGAATGTATTTCATTCTACACCTCTGAATTCATCACCTCTGCCTAGAAATGCTTTGATTTATTATCGGTTTTCTGGTGGCACAATTGGTCGGTAAATTGATCATAATTCTTAAATTTTCCAGTTTTCTTTAGGTGGTAGTCCTTTTATAAATTGCTCTTCTGGTTCTGTTCACTTTACTCAGTATCAGGTCGTGTAAATCTATACTATACCCAGTACAGTAGCATTTTAGTAACTTTTATTTTTAACCTCTGAGTACTTGTGCCGCCAGTATTAACTAATTGACAAAACCATCATGAACTTAGGGAGTTAAATTAAAAAGACCCAGCCGGTCCTCTTGCCGTATCTGCCTTTTTGCATTTTTTGTTGACCAGCATGTAAAGTAGCTACTGAGGAAAGACTTCAGTTGACTCATCTGCAGTCTTGTGAATCTTTATTAAGCTGCAAGGGAAATGACAAGGATATTTGAAGGAAATCTGATACAAACAAGAAATTATAGCAGAAATACTTTGTTGAAAAAAAGAGGAGGGTTTACATGGTTATTGCACAAACTGATGCAGCATCTGTTTGCTAGAATTAAAAATGCTAATAAATTTGGTAAATTTTTATTTTACTTGCACTATCAAGCATTTACATAACTGCAATTTGGTAACTTGCTGGATAGACTACATTGATTTTCTTCCAAGCTGCAGAATTACAACAGATGGTAGAAAATTCTACAAAGCAGGTGAAAATTAGTTTAGCATAACTATGTCTACAGTTAGCTATGTATCTTTAAAAAGATACTTGGATTAGGGGTACTTAATTTAGTTCACAGGTTTGTTGCCTTTATTTGGATTGGTTACTCAGATAATCATGAGAATGGGCATGATATTAACAAGGAAAGGATAGAAGTTTACAGATATTTATTTCATTTAACCTTTTAATTTAAACTATTACTTGACAGGAGGTTGGATGTGAAAGATGCTTTTATGGAGGCACTGGGTGGGGCATAGTAGAAAATGTTGTAACTGGAGGCAGGACCTGGGTTCACATTCTGGCTTTGTCACTTAATGACCTTGGTCATGTTACTTATTCTCTTTGAGTCTCAGTTCTTAGTAAAATGAGGTTGGATGAAATGTTGTGAAGTCCCCTAGAACTTTAAATCTATTAGCCTGTGGTCCTGAAGGAACCCTGGAATAAAGCTATTCTATAATGGCAATTAGCCACTGAATACAATGTTCATCCAAGGTGTCAGTCATATAAAGATGAAGTTTGTAAAATTACAATCAGTTATTAGCTGGGAAGTGAGCAGATGGTGTTGACACATAAACAGCAGGTACATCTGGAGAGAAGATTGGAGTCCACTTAATGTGCTGTGTATAGCCCACCAGCCAGAGTCTGTCTTGCATATTAAGACATTTTTAGCCCATATTTTGGTATTGCAGATAAGAATAGGAAGCAACCTTTGATTTAATGTTTTGCTTTTTTTTTAGAATTAAATATATCTTCCTTCACATAGATTTAAATATACTTCTGATGAATATCAAAAGAACTTGAGTAGTAAGATCTTGGTATGCTTTTAGTTTGAATTAAATGTTCTTGAGAGTACTTATTTTATACTTTCAAATGAACTTTTTCTAGCACTGTAAAGCACCTGGGCCTTTTCGGGTAAGAAAGTCAGGAATGGACCAGATAACACATTTTCTAAACTGCTTGGTTAAAAAATCAACAGAGTTAAGGCTTTTAAGCTAAATTTTTTCATCTAGGAGAATATAACTAGCTAATATAAATCCGATTTTCTCTTCTCCCCATACTTATCTGAGTATTTACCACAATCATGGCATTTCGCCCCCGTATATTTTATAATCTATAAAACTTTTTGATAATCTTTACATCACCTTCACTTCCCACTGTTTTCTTTCCATTTAAAAAAAACCATCCTGTATAAAAAGGAGGAAGATAAGGCAGTTCAGCAGAACTAACTGAATATACATCCAAGTCCATGTAGTGTTCCATGTTGAGTTATTTAACTCTGCAAAAAAAATGGAAGAGAAAGTACATATATACATTTAGCATAACTCCTAGCCTTTAATGTGGCAGAACCAAAGGAATGAGTAAATAACGGGAAGAAAAGATGGTTTGCTTTCTTCTCTTAATATAGACTTGTCTGAAATTCTGACTCTTTTTGGTCCTTCCTTTCCCCTGTCCCCATTAATATGTATTTAGCTGTAGTTTTGCTTATTTCACTGTTGCCTCATACTGACATTTCCATATTTCCTGTTAGGTTTCAATGTTTACTGGTTTTTTATTAGCCCCACAGCATTTTCTTAAATGGATATACCATAATTTAGCCATTCTCCAATTTTTGGACATACTGTTTCCATTTTTGGGGTGTTACAAATGAATTAGCCCTGAATATTTGTAGAGAGGTGGTTTTGTTTCCTCCCCATTTTGTGTAGGGGGGAGAGATTTGGTGGAGATAGAATCCTAGCAGAGGAATTGCTGGGTCAAAAAGTATGACCAGTTTTGTGACTAATTGATAATGGATGCTCTTTAGAATGTTTATACTAGTCTGTACTGGACCTTTGCTCTTTAGGAGAGCCTCTACTTCAATTCTGTAGGAATTGTATTATAGATTGTATTATTTTATGACTTGCACCATTTCTAAGAATTTTTATTTATAAATTCCATTGTAAATATATTTAGTTCTGATTTTTAAAATTGTGATTTAAAAAAAATTTATAAATATTTTATGTGAATCTAGCCTTGTTCTATTTTTCCTTCATTGATTAATTCATGTATATATAGAATCTCTGAATTAGGAAGGTTGGTTAGTCCAATCTAGCTTTTATTTGAACACTCTCACAGTGATAGAAGATTTATTACTTCCTGAGGTAAGCCATTTCATTGTTTTATGGCTCTCCTTATTTAGAAAATTTTTCCTTATTTGAATGCTTCTTCCTTGTAATTTTATTTTGGTTATGGTCCTGCCCTCTGAACCTACACAGGATGTTTGCTTTCTTATGGCAGTTCTTCAGATATTTGAAGGGCTATTTTTCAAGTGTCTTCCTCTTCACCAACCCACATTACACTGTTGTCTCACGAATCCCATACAGGATAAAACAACCCAACCCAACACAATCCAAAACATTTCCACAGTACAATAAAAGTCATTCTTCCTTCTATCCTAGACTTTATAACTGAATTTTCTTACCTCAGTGTGGAACTTAACCTGTAGCTTTAAAATTTATTTTAATTGGTTTCAGTCTCATTCTAGCCTTTAGAATTTTTTTGGAATCCTGTTATTAGTATATTGGCTAATGTCACCACAAAGCTTATAAGAATTTTTTTTTTCTAACCCTGAGTTTTTCTTGTGGTGGCTGGGTAAGTGATTTCAGAGAGAATGAAAAGCCCACTTAGTGCACAGTTCTTCTAAAGTGACCTTTAGAGTGAAGTGTGCTCTTCTTTTATTTTTGATTGAATATAATTATCTGTTTTGTGGTTTAAGTTATTACAAGTATCCCATCTGGATACAGAGTAAATATAAATTAGTTTTGTCACTTTTTTTTTCCAGGTTGCAGTTGACCAAAGAGATGGTTATGGAGAAGCCAAGTCCCCTGCTGGTCGGGCGGGAATTTGTGAGACAGTATTATACTTTGCTGAACCAGGCACCAGACATGCTGCATAGGTAGGCATTCTTTTTTCTTAAGCTGGACAGTTATAGAATGCAGAATGTTTCCTCTTATCAGTAGAAGTGTCATGATACAGTAGAAAGCCTTTGAATCAGAAACTAGATTGGAATTGTTTGTCACTTATTAGCCGTAACTTTAAACTTTTGTTTCCTCATCTGTAAAATTCAGGTAATGATGCTTTTACTGATTGTATGGCTGTGCAGGAAAGTGCTTTCTAAATGATAACTAGTCACTGTATGCACTTAAAAAAGTTCTCAGGTGTGCCCTGCTTGAGGACTATATAGGTAAAACAGGAATTGGTTCTTTTAAAGCTATACTTCCTAAGTATAAAGAAAACTTGGGTAATTGAATTAGAAGGCAGGTTTTAAGAATAAAAAGTTAAGCAAGATTTTTGAGGGTCATTAGGTCTTGTTTTATAGGTTTTATGGAAAGAACTCATCTTATGTTCATGGAGGTTTGGATTCCAATGGAAAACCAGCTGATGCTGTATATGGACAAAAAGTAAGTATTTTGAAATTGCCAATTTTTTTCCTCAGGCTATTGTTAAATCGAATAACTTCAAAATAAAATGTAAAATTACAAGAAATAACTATTTCTAAATAGACTGACTTTGAACTGACCAGAATTTACTGGCATGGGATTTTAGGCATTTAGCTATAATTAGTTTAAAAGAAGAAAATTTTTAAATCAAAATAATTACAGGATAATTGGTTTATGCAAATTTCTTAATAGAGACTTGGTTTTTAGTTCTTTTCCTTACCTTTTGTGATAATTTGATAATCCTAGAAATCATGATTATTTGGGTTCATTCAGTGTTTTTCAAGTGACAGTTATGCAATGTACTGTATGCTCAGTGATAAAGATAATTCCTGCCCTCAACTAGCTTAGAAGCAAGTTGGGCTAAATGGGATTTCTGTGAAAGGATATGATAAATGTGTAAGTAGAAGGAATCAGGTTGGGAAACAAGGACGAGATAGCATTTTATTTTTATATTTTTATACTTTTTTTTTGTGAGGCAAATGGGGTTAAGTGACTTGCCCAGAGTCACTCAGCTAGTGAGTGTTACGTGTCTGAGGCTGGATTTGAATTCAGGCCCTCCTGACTCCAGGGCCGGTGCTCTATGTTCGCCACTTAGCTGCCCCTAAGGTGGCATTTTAGGTAGGTCTTGAAGCTGAGTGGAGATGTAGGAGATCAGAGAAAGGAAACTATTAATGTAGTGAAATTATTAAGAAAACTTGGGGCTTTTAGCCATAGATAATAGAATTTTCTAGTTTAAAAGCAAAAAAAGAAAAGAAAAAGTGCCCTTGAAACTATAAACTTACAAAATGAATTAATGCTAGTTAATTTGGTCTCTTGTTGAAACTGACTGCATAAATTTAAATTGGGTTAGCTGACTGTTGTCTGGCATCTTTAGGAAATCCATCGGAAAGTGATGTCCCAAAACTTTACAAATTGTCACACTAAGATTCGTCATGTGGATGCTCATGCTACCCTCAATGATGGTGTTGTGGTCCAGGTGATGGGATTGCTGTCTAATAATAACCAAGCATTTAGGAGATTCATGCAGACATTTGTACTTGCACCAGAGGTATGTATTGATGTGAACTGTCATTTTTTAATGTGTTACAACCTCAAATCTAAAGAAATAGTGAATTGGCATATAACTACTGAAAAGGACTTTTAAGACTACTTAAACCTCACAAGTTGGACTGCTTTTATAATAACGAAGTTATTGACTTCTCTTTTTCTTCTTTTGTCTGTCTCAGTAGTTGTTGTTTTAGTTGTCTAATTTGTAACTCTAGTCTGTTGCTTTGGGTTTTTTCTTGGTGGACAAGAGGTCAATTAAAAAAAATTTGGAAATATAAAATCATAGCACAGAGGTATTGAATCCCCTATCTGCAACAAGACATATGTAAAATTGAGTATTTCTTGTAAGGGACACTCATTGTGAGACAGCCAGTTTCACGGTTTGGCAGCTTTGATTAGTAGGAAGTTCTTGACATCATATTGCACTGGTATGTACTTCATGTAACTTGCCTACCAGTAATCATAGTTTTGTTCTTTAGGGCTGTGTGGAATTTCTAATTCTTTCACTTGACAGCTCTTCAGTTATGTTTTTTCTGTCACTCGTGGGGATGCATTCTTACAGAACGTGATTTTGAAGTCGTCCTTAACCATTGTGGTTATTCCCTTTTAGATAATATTTCAGTTTGTCAGTGTTCTTATTAAAAGGTGAGACCTAGGATAAATTGAACACAACTCATTGCACTTGGAAAAATTGTTTACATAGTACTGCTTTGAGTCTCAGCTCAAAGGAAGCCTTTAACATTCACATAATTAGAATAATTTCTCCATTTTACTAGACCTTCAGATAAGCCAAATACAAAGTACTGTCCAGGTCATGTTTCCCACATCTACTTTAATGAATTCCTTAGAACCTTGGAGTTCAGGTGAACAATTCCTTGACTTAAACCATGTCCAACAACCCCCCAACCCCAAGACAATTAGTAAAAAGTAGCCTGGAAAGAAAGGAGAAAGACCTTGACTGAGGAGACTAAAAGTAATGTAAAGGGAACTTCCCTGGAATCTCGGGAGCTTTCAGCCAAAAACCTAAAACTTTTTATGCTGCTTTGCCTAGATTGCTCATAGCTGGGTCAGAGATCAGTCCACCTGAGGGCAAAGTTAACTCAGACTGCCCCAGGGCTCTTCCACTTGGTTCCTGGCTCACAATACCACTCCCAACTCTGATTACCAATACCTGAGTGGCCAGGGTCACATATGAGCTTCACAGCACAATAACATCTGCCCCCTGATCCTTTTAGCAAGGGCTTCATCAAAACAGCCACAAAGGAGAGGCTTGAGCCCTTCTTATTGACCTACTTAGCCATTTGGGGCCCTTCCTCAGAGGTCTCTGGGTCATATGTGACCCCGTTGTGGGCCCTTCCTATAGCTGATCAGGGCTCTGGTGCTGTTTTGCCCAGTTGCAAATCGGGGTGCCATTGGCTTTTCTCTTTCACTTCTGGTGTTATCAGCTGCTTCTTGCAGGCTGTATGCCTCACTCTTGGAGGTGCCAGGACATCATTGTTTTCCTTATACTCTATTACAACCAATGCTGCATTGCTCCCTGAGCCTGCTACCTTCAAAGGCAGCTTTCATTAGTTTCTTTATTTAGCCTTTTGTCATTGGCCTTGTTTGAACTTCTGCCTGAAACTTTATGTTAACTTACCCTCATCGCTGCTGGATAGTGTAAACTGAATTTGTTTCTGAGTGCCTGTGTCCATCCATACCCTATTCTTAATTTAAGGGATCTTAAATATAAAGGATGTTACCATGTAGTATTCAAGTGTTGATGCATGTTTTTTTTTTAAATGCGTTTTGAGCTTTGCTAGTGTTTATAATATTGAGCACAATAGTTTTTACTCCAGTTAGTTAAAAAATGGTGTTAAGCTCATTTTAGTCAGTCTTCATACTTGAGATGATCAGGTTCTTGAAATGCCAGCTGAGTAAGTGAATGCTTTTCCCTTCTTGCATTTCAGGGTTCTGTTGCAAACAAATTCTATGTACATAATGACATCTTCCGATACCAAGATGAGGTTTTTGGTGGTTTTGTCACTGAACCCCAAGAAGGTAAAGAAAATACATACCGACTTTCCTTTTTATATACCAGTTTATTGGTCAGCTATCAGTGTCTCAGGGCTACCACATACAGGGCTAACATTTTTAGTTCATTGACCACTTTTTGAACCTTTATAATTGTAACTTACCTGAATAAAAAGTTTTTTTCCTATTCAATTTGAATGGGTCAGGATCTACGGGTTTTTTTTTTTTCTGTTAACCACCTTGTGCTAGAACCAGCTCATGGGAGCTGATTGTTAAATTTTCAAAGTATTTGCACCTTGGTAATTGGCAAACCTACAAATCAGGGCTGGGTTTATTGTTTTGTTTGTCCAGTTTTAAGAAAGTGATAAAGAAAAATGGTAACAATGCAAATTAGACTTAAAAGTGTATACTGTATATACCATTTCCCTCCCAGAAAGCCATTTAGTTGTTAGTTAAATATTTACCAGCACACTGCTGGCTCCAAATGACAAGACAATCTGATAGGTTCCTTACTGTAGTGAGCTTTTTGATGTGAGTAACTCATTCCTAGTTGAGGTTTAAGATGATCCTGCCATATACTCCGTCTTAATTCATTTTTATTTAGAGGGCAAAGGAGGTAACACAAGCAACTTTATAAATAAGAAAGAATGTAATGAATGCCAGACATTGTACTGTATACTCTGGGCTATACCTTATAAATTCTTTTCACTAGTAAAATTGTAGTTTCCACTGAAGGATGCTTCCACAAAGAGCTAAAGCCTTAAATTTATTATAAAGGATCTGGTAACTAGGGTTGCTTTCTTATGTGTTGCATATCTCTCCATTTTTTGTTGTTGTTGTTTTGGTGAGTCAGTCGGGGGTAAGTGGCTAGTCTGGAGTCCCACAGCTAGTGAGTGTCTAGTGTCTGAGGCTGGATTTGAACACAAGTTTTCTTGACTCCAGGGCTGGTACTCTTATCTACTGAGCCACTTAGCTGCCCCTCCATGTGTTTTATGTAATTTTTTTTTTCAAATTTATACCTCTTGATTGAATAGTTGCATAATTGTTTTAATTAATCTTATTCCCCAATACAGAATCTGAGGAAGAAGTAGAAGAACCAGAGGAAAGACAGCAGACCCCTGAGGTAGTTCCTGATGACTCTGGAAATTTTTACGACCCAACTGTCAGGTAAAGAAACTTTCTTATAAATCACAATGACAGATATGATGAGATCCGTCGTCACTGGGGTGGCAGTGGTCTGGGTCCAAAATCAGTGGCTTGTGTTGCCAAGCTGGAAAAGGCAAAAGCTAAAGAACTTGCAACCAAATTGGGTTAAATGTATGTTTGATTTTTGCCTACGTAAAAATAAAAATTTAAACAAAGCAAACAAACAAAAAGAAACTTTCTTATAACCAAATAGAAACTTGTTTCTGTAGTCAATTTCCATGCATTTTAGTAGGAATTCATAAACAAACCTTAGAATCATAGATTCTAGAGTCTTTTCTAAGAAGGAAAACAGTACTTTGGAGTGTTTTGAGCTCTAAATGGTAAAATAACCCTGAATTTATATTTTATAAATTGTTAAGAGACAAAGTAGCATAGTGAAGACTTGCAGTTGGAAGGAGGTTCATCATTTCCTACCTCTGGGATTGTTGTTGTTCTGTTTCATTTATGTTCAATTCTTTGTGACCCCATTTGGGGTTTTCTTGTAAAGATACTGAAGTGGTTTGCCTTTTCCTTTCCTAGCTCGTTTTATAGATGAGGAACTGTGGCAAAGGTTAAGTGATTTGCCCACCGTCACACAGCTAATAAGTGACTGAGGCCAGATTTGAACTCAGGTCCTCTTGACTTCAGGGCTGACACTCTATCCGCTGAGTCACCTAACTGCCCCATCTCTGAGATACCTCCTGGCTTTTCAAATCAGTATGGAAAAGCCACTTAATCTCTCAAAGGCTCAATTTCCTCATGTGTAAAATGGAGACTCTTTGAACTCTATACCTCATAGGGTAGTTGTGAGAAGTTCTTTGCAAACCTAAATGTGAATTGTTATTGTTCCAAAATATATAATACCTTTCAACGTGTTTTATTTTTGTCTTATACTTAAAAGAATTCACCAAAATTACATCAACCATATGTAAAGGTAAAAAGGTTTAGGGACAGTACTACCTTATGTTGTTTAGTCACAGTTATTAAACATTGTTTTAAATGCTTTATCTTCCTCGAGCTTGGAATTTAACTGGAAGAAACAAAGCATCATGACCAACAATAATAGAAGAATTAAGTATTGTAAGACAGAATTATGCTGAATGAAACATTGTTTTTGATATTTAATTTGATCCAATTTTGAATGGTTATAAAATGCTTTTATTGTGTGTGCTGTATTAGAGAAAGAGAAAGATGACTCTTTATTTTTCAGAAAATTCATTTCCAGTTTAAAACAAACCAACAAGCATTTTTTAAAAATCCACCAACCTGTGATTCTTTTCTCCAGTCTTCTGGAGAATTATTATTTCTTGTTTTTGGTTCATGGCTGGGGTCAAAAACTAAGACATAGGTCAGCTTTACTGTTGGACTCTAGGAAATAGAATGACTTGTTGATGCTTCACATTGCAAGCAATGACCTGGAGGAGCACCTGGAGGAGCCTGTTGCTGAGCCAGAGCCAGAGCCAGAACCAGAGCCTGAGCAAGAAGCTGAACCTGAAATTCATGAAGAAAAGTCTGAACCAGCTTTGGAAGAACCTGTTTCTGAGGAGACTCAAAAGAGCTCTTCTCCTGTGCCCGTGGATTCTGCTCCAGCAGTACAGGAGGACTTGAGGGTGAGGAAGATTAGTGATTACTTCTGTCTGGCAGTACCTATTCTTCATGTTCCAGTAATTTGTATAGTATATGTGCAGAAGTTTTTAAGGAAAGTTCCATGTTAAATTCTCATAGTCTTGCCTGTCTGATAACAAAACTCAAGGTGCTTAACTTTTTTTTTAAAATAAATTTTGTCTTTTTAAAAATCTCACTAAAGTCCTCTGTATTCCTTCCACTATTCCCTTTCAGAAAGTCATCCCATATAACAAATATTTTTAAAACACAAATAATAAAAGTAGAAAAAAGAATAACTTATCAGCTCATTGAAAAAGTCTGAAAAATGTAATTTATTACAACTGGGGGCCTCTCCACCTCTACAAAAGAATGGAATGGGTGTCTTCTCATATTTCTTCTTTGGAGCTGCGCTTGCTCGTTCTTTGTAAATTCGCAACATTCACTTTTATGGTTCTCTCTTTTTTTTACATTGTCATTGCGCGTATTGTTTTCTTGGCTCTGCTTAATTCTCTGTGTATCAGTTCACGTATATCCATGCTTTTCTGTATTCATCATATTTGTCATTTCTTAACTGCATGATGATAATCCAGTATATTTGTGTACCACAGTTGATTTAGCCATTTCTCAATTGAGGGGCATTTGCTTTGTTTGTAATTCTTTACTATAACCAAAAAGTGCTGCTATAAATATTTTAATCTCTGTGTTTGGACTTGTTAACAATGGCCCTCATGGAGTATAAGGCTGGTATTGAAATCTCAGGGTTGAAGGGTATGGACATTTTAGTTGTTTTATTTGCATAATTCCAAATTGCTTTCAAAAATATTGTACTGATTGACAGCTCCGCCGGCTCCATCAACAATGCACTAATTGTACCTGTCTTTCTACAGCTCCATAACATTGACTATTCCCAAATTTTATCATTTTTGCCACTTTTCAAGATGTGAGTAATAAGCTCTGAAGGCTATATGCGTTAGGTATGAAAATTCATGTTACCTCATGAGAGTTTAAAAAAAATTTGGAGTTCCTGACAGCCTTTTACCCCTTCCTTTTAACTTGATTTGGTGGATTGTCAGTGTGTTCTTGACTGTTAATAACCTCCATGTCCTCTTGCATTCTGCCTGCTCAGTGCTCAGTACCCATAACGATTCTACTTAGTCCTTGGTATCAGCCTATTAAAAATCAGCCCCTTGATTCTTTTCCTTTGCCAGAGGAACATAGTCATCACCTCACCTCTTCCCTCTTTTTTTTTCTGCTTCCCCTACACGTATTCTGTGGCACGTTATTTCATCTGTCATGTTTTGGTTAAATGTCTTGTCCTTATGTTTGCCCCTGACTCTTGTCTCCTCCTCCTGCCTTCCCTTTTGTATTTTGACAAGCTCAGGTTATCTTAAGCTAATTTATCTGAGTTCTAGAATGAATCCTTTTTCCCTAGGGAAGTATTTCATGTTATACTGCGTTACCTTTAATGAAACAATAACTCTGTCCTAAAGCAGATAACATCGTGGTCACTTCCTTTTAAGGATTGCTTAGGTAGTATTATTATCTATGTCTGGACTCTATCCAGGCTTTAAGGCAAACCTTAAGGCTGAAAAACACTCTTGAAAGCTGGAGTGGGTGAGTATGTAAACTTGTTGCATTGAGAACTTGTACAAGGATGGTCTCTGCTTTTAAGAAACAAAAACCTATTATATAAAGTTGTATGTTATGGCTGATCTTTCTTTGTTCACATTATTTCTTTTAGACATTTTCCTGGGCATCTGTGACCAGTAAGAACCTTCCACCTAGTGGAGCTGTTCCAGTGTCTGGGATACCACCTCATGTTGTTAAAGTACCAGCTTCGCAGGTGAGGTTCTAATATGAAAGTTGGGTGGACCTACTCTTGATTTGGCTTTAGAAGCATTCTTTTTGTTGATTCCATAGGGTAGAGGAAAGAAATGGTTCAAAGATTTTCCCAGATAACTTAGATCTAACATGGTGAGATTTGATTATTTACGTACAAATTAAATTGTTTTTAATCCAGGCTCGCCCAGAATCAAAACCGGAATCTCAGACACCACCACAGAGGCCCCAGAGGGACCAGAGAGTGAGGGAACAGCGAACTAATATCCCACCCCAAAGGGGACCCAGGCCAAGTAAGAAGACTTTAGAAAGTATGCCTTGTCTTAAAGGTTTTGATTTTTGTTTCAGACTAGATGATATGGAGTTTTTTTTTTCTCTGTTAATAATAGTTGGCTTGTATTGATATGTGATTTATGGGCCATTGAAATCAGTACAAACCTTTATTGATTTTTTTTTTAATATGACGAAGCATTTTGTTTCTTTTCAAGTTCGTGAAGGTGGTGAACAGGGTGATATGGATACAAGGAGAATTGTGAGATATCCAGACAGTCATCAGCTTTTTGTTGGAAATCTTCCACACGATGTGGACAAAGCAGAATTAAAAGATTTCTTCCAAAGTAGGTTACTGAATTGTTGAAACTTGGATTGAAAGTGTAAGTTCTTTTGGCATAACAACAGGCCTAACAAATGACCAAAGGTTTCTGTGTTTCGTTCAAAGGTTACGGGAATGTTGTGGAACTTCGAATTAATAGCGGTGGGAAGCTACCCAATTTTGGTTTTGTGGTGTTTGATGACCCAGAGCCAGTTCAGAAGATCCTTGGCAGCAGAGTAAGAATATTTTCATACATACATTATTATATTTGTAAGTAATTGTGGCGTATTGGTAGTGAAAGTTTGTGTGTTCTAAAACATCTGATGGAGGCAGCAAGGTGGCATAGTGGATGGAGCACCGGCGGCCCTGAAGTCAGGAGGACCTGAGTTCAAATGTGGCCTCCGACCAAATATTTGACACTTACTAGCTGTGTGACCCTGGGCAAGTCACTTAACCCAATTGCTAAAAAAAACCCAAAACATTTCATGGCTCTTATTTTATGAGAATGTTCATTTTTCTTGTTAGAATTGACCAAGTGATTGCTGAATTCCATTTTGGTCTCTTTAATACTTTATGTGAAAAAAATTATTAAAATATTAAAAAGTACATAAAACTACATAAAGCACCTCTATCCTATGTTGCAAACAGCGACTTTATATGTATAGCAACTTTATAGCTAAAACCCAAGATGTTCAAAAATACTACCATTCATTCCAAAATCTTGTCCTGTTGCCTAGCGTAGTTATTGTGTACAAACAAATAATTGTGATATGTAACGTGGAAATAAAGTACAAGATGTTGTGGTAGGTGAGAGGAAGGAAAGACTGAAATCATATTGTTTCAATAAATTACTTGAGACTGATCAACACCCCCAGTTTTTGTGTAGAGATGAGTTCCTTACAGAAAAACTCTTCTATACAGCAACCCAATACAACTGTTAGGAAGATTAATTTGGTGTCAGAAGAGAATACCTACTCATGTCACTGGGGTGGTGCATTGTTTTCTCTTTTGTGTTTATACGTTAAAATTTTGTAGAAAAAACTACCATCTACAAAATGTTGTTTTTGCCGAAGATTATATTGTGTGTACTTTTTACTAATGGTTTAAGCAACCAATAAAAAAAGAAACAAAATTTGAAGCTAATCCAAAATTTGGTATTCTTACCCACTTTTTAATTGATGATTTAATCCATTCTTTTCTAAGCTTGATGTAGTGTTTGTTATTTGTGTTTTGCCCATTACGTTCTGCTGGATTGTAAGGCCTGGCAGTACAGCAGTAGTGTGTTACTATCTGGTATCCAGCAAAATGCTTTATCCACACTAGCAGGCACTTGATAAGTGGTTTCTAAAAGAGTAATGAAATCTTGAAATTGGGAGGGACCTTAAAGGTGATATAAGCCTGAATCTCCTCATAAGAGATCTTTGGCAAATAATGATCTGGCGTCTTCTTGAAAACCTTATGTCACAGCATGGTACCCTTCAAGATAACCCATTCATTCGTTGGTTAACTTTAAGTATTAGGAATTTCTTTATGTGTCCCTTCCTCTTCAGGCTCTCAGTGTTTCTCTTATTATACCACTCCAAGCTCTTGATAGACTTTATAGTTAGTACCCCACCTTTTGTGGCAGCTTGGGCAGGGGAGAGGAAATGGGCCACATATGTATCCTGAGGCCATTTTTTTGCTCTTGTATAAGATAAAGGCCTTTTAAGGTTAGTCTAGGAATTGAACCCAAGTGCTTTGAAAGTCGCAGTGTTATATCAGTGTGAAATGTCATTGTTCTTAGCCCACTTGCTTTTTCTTTTATATTTTGAATTCCTAACAGCCAGCTCAAAAGTGAATTTTTAGAACAAACATGTTGCATTTTTGTCTAATGTACGCATTCAATATTCAGTGGCATTCAGGAACAGTAATTTTAGAAACCTTTAATTTTTACAGCCTATCATGTTTAGAGGTGAGGTGCGTTTGAATGTGGAGGAGAAGAAGACACGAGCTGCCAGAGAAGGTGATCGTCGAGATAACAGACCACGTGGACCAGGAGGCCCGAGAAGTGGGCTAGGTGGCGGAATAAGAGGGCCTCCCCGTGGAGGAATGTCTCAGAAAACAGGATTTGGAGCTGGAAGGGGGATTGGTCAGCGTCAATGAATTCGGCACACGGATCTTCACATGATGGCACAAACCTTTGCTCCTGCAGCGTTGTGAATTTCAGCCTTGGGTGTCTTGGAATGTGACCCTAGCCTGTTATATAGACTGCCTACGTTTGATACAATTTCAGGCTCTTTTTTGTTTGTGTTAATGGTTTTTTTGTGTGTGCTGTTTTCATCCCCCAATGCCCCCCTAAGTCCTTGTCCCCAATTCCAGTTTTGTGGAACAATATTTTAGGAAAAGTCGATTTTTAAAGAAGAAAAAAACTGAAATTCTTGCTCACCTCAAATATACGGACTAGATTTTTTTCTTTTTCTTTCTTTTTATTTTTACAACAGCGGTTTTATCCCAAAGGACTATATCTTTTGCTTATAACTGATATTGAAATAGTTTTCTTTTTCCTTTTCCACGTTTCCAAGAATTGGTCAGAAACCCAGGATTTGGCAAACATTTTGAGGGCAGGAAAAACCCCAGTTGTTCATTGAGGGCCATGACTACTCTCTGGTTTGGAATTGTTGCCACTGGAAAAATTGACAGTCGCACTTTCCTCTGTGGCATGGTTAAAAAACGGAATAAAGGGTATTCATAGAACTTTTTTTTTTGCTTTTGATACGTGATCACATAAAAATGAATTCTAAACTACTGTTTTTACCACTTGGAATTTTGGATTGTGGGATAGGTTTTAAATGTGTAGAATTCAATTCTTTAAAATGCTTTTCCTGAATTTGTGGAAAAAATTTTTTATTGAAGTAGGGAGTTTTTTTTCATGTTTTAGTTTGTATTTGTAAAAAAACAAAACAAAACAAAAAAACAGCAAAATTGTTGTGCCTTCTATTTATCTCTCATTCCAGTCTTGGCAAATTGTTTTAAAATAAATAAAAATAAAAACATCTAGATTTGCTTTATCAGGTTCAGAGTATGTGGGAATTTTTCCCTGAAATGTTTGTTAGATTCTTTTCATCTTAAGCATTATCAAATTATGTTATTTTATCAAGTGTTCATACTTAACTACCTGGTTCCTAAAGGTATACAGAAGAAGAATCTAAACTGGAATACTTTTGAGGCACTCTTGATTGGAAGAGAGACTATTATTTTAGGTCTTTTCACCTCAAATTATTCATCTTATCAATTAGTCATAATCCATATCTGGTCCATAGTCACAACATATTAGAAGGAATTTGAAGCCCTTATACTGGAATTCTGGCTAGCTATCAGAGAAATTCATAGCTGCCTGATAAGTTTATTTTTTCCAGTTCTTTTCTTAGTGTGTAGGTCTTATTTTCAAAGTATGAACAGTTTTTTAAAAAAAAAAAGCTTTTTGGATGAAAGGTGCATGTAAAGGTAAGAACTAATTAAATGGCAATGTGTATTGTGATTAGTTGGTGCTAGGAGGTGGTTTATGTAGGATTTCATTTAGATGCTTGTGAAATCTAGCTTTGATTTCTCTCTGTTATTTATCCATAGAGCAAAGCTGTTCAATCCTAGATACTTTTTAGAGGATCTCTAAATTTTTTTTTGGTTATATTGCTGGTTATATTCTACTTTGGAAGGGGATTGGTAAACGTCACTTTATTTTGAAACTATTGAGCAGATCATGTTATAAATTGGTTGGTAGCATACAATTTGTATTTGGGAATTTGAACAATCATATCCAGAGGGGCGGTTAATGGATTGAACTCCGGGTGGAAAAAGGGAGAGCTCCAGTCTCCTCAGGACTGTGTTCATCCTTAACATAGGTGAAAGGCAGAATTACTTAAAATTTACAGATGACATGAAGCTAGAGTCCAAAGATCTTTGCAGACTAGTTTGATGAACTGAATATGTCAAGATGAAAACTTTGACAAATTCAAAATCTCACTTGTGTTTAAAAAAAATGAAATAGGTAGCTACTTCAATCTGAAAAAATTTTTTAGTAACAAGTCAAAAAATTGAAGTTCCATTAATATAGTATCTAGAATGAGGGAGCTATTAACCTTGTCTGTTTTGGGCACTATATTTAAGGAAGGATATTGACAAAATGAAATATGTCGAAAGAAGGTTGCCAAGTTAAAGGATCTGGGAGCTGTTTGAACGACATGGAAAGGGAGAGGACACAAGGAGGATTTGGTTATGAAGCTAAATGCTTTCACAGCACTAGTTAAGAAATAAAAACTCGTAAGAACTAGTGAAATCTGTTCTAAGGAATTGATAAGCTTAATTTCTGTGTATTGTACTTGAAAATCGAAAATATATTTCGGTACAGACAGGACAAATACATTGAATATATTCAAACCTGGTTGGGATTTTATTGTACTTTTTCCCTTCAGGCTAACACACTTATTTAATAACGTATATAGTGCGGCACAAAGATGACATTTGTTGAATTGCTGTTTGAACATATAAAGTAAGATTTGGTATCAGTAAATAACTCATAATTCAAGAATCCAGATGCCATTGTTTTCAGAAATTTTTTTTTTTTGCTCTTTGCTTACTGTCATGGTGCACTGAGTTTCAAAGTTAGCAAAAAAAGGATTTGGGCCTCCAGCCCTTATTATATTAGGGTCTTGGGATTAATCTCCTTTCAAACTTCCGTCGTAATCATGGGGTGTGTCCTGTGGGGGATCCCCCCACCCCCATTTTCCATTACTTGAATGAAGAAAGTGTGAGCTGCTGCTGTGTTCTTCCTGATGCCATAGAGAGCATGCTAAGGGTGTGAGGACGTCTGAGTGTTGGATTGTGGGGAGGAGTTTCATACCTAGCAAAACCTTGTGGTACCTTATTGTTCTATGAAATATACTTTGAGAATCAGTTGAATTGTAGAGAGAACAAAGGCAACTGGAAAGTAAAAATACCCATGAATCGTTTTCTTTTGCTTGGTTAGCAAGCTAAGGATTCTTACTATTTTCAACTTTATCTTTCTGGATAAAAATTGAATGGGGTGTGGGGGGGAGGGTAGAGAATCTAGCTCTGTTCCCATTCTCTTTTAAAATCACATTGATTTCTGGATTTGGAATCTTGAAATTTTTGAGTCCTTTTGTCAGCCTTGATTTGGTGTAACGTGCAAGGGTAGTCATGCGGTAACATTGAACTTGAAAACTTTTCTAATTTGGCATTTCCTTTTATTGATAATAATGTTCCAAGGATCTCAGGGACCTGGGTTCTAATCCTGAGTTACCACTAACTTGATGTAGAGCTGTATTTCCTCATTTGTAAAATCAGAAGAGGAAGGATCCTAACTAGATGATTAAGTTCCTGATGTTTCTTCTAGCTCTGACACTGATTTTTCAGCAGTAATGTTGATTTGTTTCTACCTTTGCCCTGTGTAGTCACTTACTATTAGGGTGTTAAGTAAATGTTTATATTGGTATTGACAGTTTATGCTTGAAGAGTATAAGTCTTTTTGCAAGTACACTTGAAAAACCAAAACTAGCTTTTGTATAATGTGTGAGACTTACACAGTTTGTTTAGAGGTGAGTTTGTGGATTCTCTGTGAATTTAATTTCCTTGGCTAGTAAAGGGGCACAGGGATGTGGGAAATTTAAAAAAAACTTTTTGTTTTGGAAACATGGTTTGTTTGTTTTTTTAATTCTAATTATGGGCATCTTATGTTTTCTGTATATTTTTAATTAAAGTGATGTAGCCACAATGCAAAAATCTGAAACAGAAGGAACTATTAATGAGTGCAGCTTTCTGCCTGTTCTGCCACATTGTACACACCCTTTCTAACTGGGCCTTACAGCCTTGCTTATGTTTGAGGAGATTAATGAAAGATTCTGACTTGACAGCCTTCTGTTGAAGCAGAGGGTTCCTAGCATAGGTTAAATAAGTGATGAAATTTTAATAAAAGATTTTGTTTTGGTCAGCTTAATTTTTTTAATAAGAATTTGAAGGATGGAGAAATGTGACCTACTCCAGATATGTATGTCAGCATGTCCCAGATGAGGTTTTATTTATTAATTTTCTTAGGCCCTTGTGGATTGAGTGGGTTGGAAGAAGGGGCTACATAAATATTTGCCACAAAATGGAGTTGAATCTGGAGCTTGAAGTACAAATAAACATCTAGCACTCTTGCTAAATAGGAAACAAAAGTATTTTGTTGCATGACATTTTAAACATATGGACAAGAGTAGTTTTCTGACGTTTGCTTCCTTTTTGTACGTCGTAACCATTGTTTCTCAATTTTTGTATGTGGTGTTTTGTTCCTGTACGTTAGAACTTTTGGTTTTTCTGAACTAGACTATCAGTGACCATTTTTAATAGCTCAATATTCCATACGAATGTGGGGCCTTATTTCTTTGTGCTAGTTAACTGTGATATTAGGCAAGTCACATCTCTGGAGAGTTTTAACTACAAGAGTAACATCCTTTCTAGCTCCTTCATTTTATGATCTTAAATATATGAAACTGGCATCATATTTATTTCCCTTACCTTACTAAAAGTTTTGGAATACTTGAGACTGTATTTAATAGGGAAATAGGTATCAGTAACTTCATACCTCACCCAGGTGGCACAGTGGATGGAGCACTGGGCTTGGAATCAGGAAGCCTCATCTTCGTTACTGCAAATCTGGCCTCAGATATTTACTAGCTGTGTGACCCGGGACAAGTCACTTAACCCAGTTTGCTTCAGTTCTTTATCTCTAAAATGAGCTGGAGAAGGAAATGGCATTCCAGTATCCAGGATACTCCAGTATCTTTGCCAAGAAAACCCAAATGGGGTCATGGAAAATTAAGATGCATCTGAAACGACCCAATGACAGCAATTACTTATAAAGGATAATCAGAATAGGTTAAAATGCAATCTTCAGGGATGGGGAAAAAAACCATTGTAGTCCCTCAAATCAGTTTTCTGAAACAGGCGTGATTGAGCTCTAAGGACTTAAGCATCATGATATAATTGACATGGAACCCATATTTCTGTAGTATTCATAATATTTTGCAAAACCCTGTGATAGAATGATGTGAAATAATGAACAGTTCAACTTGGGTAGGTGAAATTTTTGCAGTAAAAATAAGTGAGGATTTGAATTCAGAGCTCCAGTAGATAGAACAACCCACTCAATACAGAGCTGTGTGAATCTAAAAGAAAAACAGGAGTGTTAGATTATAGGGTACAGGTTGGGGGGAGGGCTTGTTTTCTGTTAAAGGCAAGGCCCTTAAAAACAAAACCAAGAAAATTAAATGTTTGAATGTTTTTTTCTGAAAATTTTTTTTTTAACATTTTAATGTAAAATTATTATAGGAAATATTCAGGAACCAATGATCGTATTTGTTAGTGGGTATTCCAATCTCTGTGCCTTGATAGGAATATTTGTGTGAGTTGCCATGGCTGAAAAACTCACATTCTAGCCATATGAGCTTTTTTTGAACGTCTTGGTAGAATTTGTAGTTTGTGTTCCAGTGTGGCATTAGAGAGTAATACAGCTACCGGAAGAAAAAAGAGTGGTGTTAATGTGTTTAAGCAGGAGCACGAATGGGGAATAATGAAACAAAATGCAGAAAGGGTATGGCAAAAAGCATAGCAAAGCTGATGGGGACCTTGGGGAAAATGTCAGTGGAAAAGAACTTTAAACATTTAGATGGGGTGGGGGGGGAACCTGCTCATGTGGCCTTCTAGGTCCTTGGGTGCAGCCTTTTGACTTGGATTCAAATTTTACAGAATAAATCCTTTTATTGAGGGAATTTGTTCTGTCAAGTTTGGATTCAGTCAAAGGGCCACACTTGAGGACCTAGAGGGCCATGTGTGGCCTTGACGCCATAGGTTCCCTACCCCTGATTTAGTTAGTCGAGTCTTTTTTTTTTTTTAGACCCATGGGGTAATTATGGGCCTAGAGTGGAAATGAATGTAACTCAGAGGAAATTTTAGTGGCTAACACTGGGATTAGCATCTAGGCCTGAATTTGAGTCTGAGGATCTTGGCCATAACAAGT